TTCGATTATCGGCCTGCATGGTTACCTGTGCTGATGAGCTCTCTGTGGTCACCTGTGCTCTCCTGTGCTGGGCAAACAGGAAATGAAATTCAAATGTTCGCGGGGCTTTTCCTGTCTACCTGGCCAGTGCATCCGAGTTCAGATTGCTGTCCAGAGCGGTCACAATGGTGCACTGTGGGATAGCTCCCGGAGGCCAATACCATCGAATTGCGGCCACACTAACCCTAATTCGAAATGACAATATCAATTTCAGCGCTACTCCGCTCGTCGGGGAGGAGTATAGAAATCGATTTTAAGAGCCCTTTATTTCGAAAGAAATGGCTTCGTTGTGTGGACGGGTGCAGGGTTAATTTAACGCTGCTAAATTCGAATTAAACTCATAGTGTAGACCAGGCCTTGATCTACTGTGGTTTCAAACAGCAGCAGATTAAAGTGCACTAGGAAACTTTTAGTGCACAGTCCACGGAGCCAATCATTGCATGGCAGGCTAGTGCACTTTAGAATTATATCTCATCTCGCCACACACTAACTCTCGATGTAACAAATCCTTAGAAACAGCAACAATTAATTTCTTTTGTTGGTGTTGCTAAAAATATCCAGTCCAGTCATGTATTTTTGCAGACATTGAAATACGGAACCCAGGTTACCATTGGACATGTCACCTTAATAAAGAACTTCCTGCCTGTCCAACTGGATTGAGAAAGGGGGCCCAAGACTTCTAGATAAAAACGTAATGGGAGGGATTTTCCCCACTGTTTATACACTGCTGTGGCCCCTTAGGCAGCTGGGGGAGCATTCCATCAGGACAGGCATGACAGAGAACAGCTGTCGGCTGTCCTGGGCAAGGCCCAGAATAGCTGGTGTATTAAGTAGAGGGGAATCTCCATAGCTCAGAACATTACAGAGACCATGGAGCTGCCCACAGCTAGGCAAGGCTGTGGAAATTTAGAGCAGCTCTCTAGGCTGCCTAGGTCACACCAGCCCAGAACTTAAAGCACCTTTGTGTCCTCTTCTCTCTGTGTGCTGCACCTGCTGAGGTGCAGTGTGACAACAGCGGTCTTGGCTGACACACTGGGGATGGAGCCTGAGACCTCCAGAGCTAAAGCATGAGTCTCTATAGCTTGAGCTAAAGAGCCAGGCTTGGTAGCTGGGGGCTGTGACAGACACACCATCCCTTGTGGATGGGGTACAAAAGAGTGGGGTAGGGACACGTAACACACACTGAATAGTGGGTTACACCAGTACAGAATCTCACTTCAGTATATTTAACCCTTCTATAGCCCCTGCCATTCAAGGATCTCGAAGCACTTCACAGTACAATCAGTAACTAACCCTTGGGAGGCAAGTAAATAGCATTATCCTCACTTCGGGTGACCAGATGTCCCGATATTAGGGGCTTTGTCTTATATATGCCACTATATCCTTCCCGCTCACTCGCTCAAAAAAAGTGTCCTGATTTTTCATACTTGCTATTTGGACAGCGAGGCAGAGAAAGTTTAAGTTGTGTGACCTTGGGCAAGCAGCATTTCAGTAGCAGAGACCTTTTTCTCCCAACTCCTAGTCCTGTGCTCAAGTCACTAGGCAGCATTTCTCTTAGAACAGAGTGACTGAGACGTGCAGTGGATCTGCGGTGCCCGTTGTCAGCTGTAATTCTGAACTGCAGCCTCTTTGCTGAACAGAGCCAGGACATACTGTACGCATGATCTGCTAATACAGAAAACCATAGGAGCTCACTCCAGTTCTGCTAGCTCTGATGAGCTTTGAAACGGCATCTTTGATGGGTTTTTATCAGCACTCTTCTGAACATTGACCTCCTTTAGCAAAAACAAATCAAAATCAAAATCTCAGTTTGTGGGAAAAGCTTATTAGAGACATTCAGGCCATTTTCTATCTGTTTTGATATCACGGAGCTTTCTTCTAGTCCTACTGGTTTTGACTTGGCAATAGTGTTTACAAACGTTGCAGAGGAAAGAGTTTATTTCCCAGATTCCTTTGACTAAAATCAGTGCAGTATCAGTTTAATACCCAATACATTCTCCATCAAAGGCTTAAGTCCTGTACTTGCAGGGGGACAGACTCCTTGATCCCATCTTTCCCCTAAAATTAAGCTGTTTCATCATTTTTCTCAGTCTTTTCTGTGTTGGAGTTTCTTCACACTCCTTTTGTGGTTTTTTCCCCCCACTCCTCCCACAAAATATCCTTTTTATTTCTGTCAGTTGTCCTTTCCTCCCTTCCTCTGCCCCATCCCCTGTGTTTTCCCGCTTCCAAAGGTCATGTGACCCTCTCTTTGGTCAAGGCGGGCTTGACATGGATGGTGGAGCTCCCTCTGTTGCTCATGCAGTTGGCCTAAGGTAGTTGCAAAAAGGCCCATCTCTTCCTCTCCCCAGCCCTTGCAGTGGTCACAGTCCTTACTGGCACCGGGAGCAAGCTTGGCCCTGAATATGGAAGTGGTGTCACAGACCACCAGGCCAGCCCCAGTCTGTACAAGTCTCACATCCCATGCCAGCTCCTTGATCTTCATCGTCTACCCTTCTGTCTCTCTGCTCCCCATAACTTTATATTCCGCCCCCCCTTTTGTGTATCTCACTTCCCCTCTCTACCCTTGGATCACATCAATACTAAGAGGAGCAGAGTGAAACTGATGTGACGCTGATGAATTTCAGTCTACTGCTTGGGAAACAGCAGGTTGCTGGATCAGTGGAAGATACACATTAGCTCATCTCTTCTCTTCCAGCTGTGTAACTCAGATTGCTCTGTAGGTGAATTACCCCACTGCTCTTGCACTACAGTATCCAGCAGGAGCAACACAGTGAAACCGCCTAGTCTTGCATCAGTTTTACTCTGCTGTTGCCAGCCCCAGTGGGGAAATGCTTCATGTAGGATCAATGGTACATGCGTGAATCTCCCCAGTGGGATTTTCTTGCAGGAGAATTTTAGCAATGCACAGATGGGATGGCCACCATACTATACCATGTTCAACCCTCTAGATACTGGCAGACAGCAAATCAAAATGATTTAAAACGATTGCATGTAGGATGGGTTTACAAAAAGTACATACTGCCAGACGAATCTGACTGCATTACTGGAGCCTAATTCTAGCAAGAAAAGCAATCTGATCAATGCGGCCAGAGTCAACGATCAGTCTCATCAATGCAGCCAAAGTCTCACTGGATTCAGTAGAACACCTCATTGGCAAAAGGGCCTCCTTGCCTGGGTCAGATTGCACCTTAATGCAGGAAGGGAAAGTGGTACATGCAATCTCATTGGATTCTGGTAAAGCATTTTATACAGTGGACCACAAAATCTGACTCAAAATTCATTCAAATTAGCTTTGGTAGAAACATAGTCATATGGATTAAAACTAGGTAAAGGACCAGCAAAGGACAATAGTAAAACAGCATGTTATCAAGTCAGAGAAGGTGCCTAGTCAGATACCACAAGATATAAGTCTGGTCCTGTTGAACATCTTCATTGATGTTTTGGAGAAATGCATCTAGAGAATGTGAATGAAATCTGCATGATACCAGATAGGGAGGAGTTGCAAATACCAGTGAGGAGAGAGGCAACCAAACAGATCAGAAAGTAACAAAGTGAGGTTTCAGTCTGGAAAAAATGCAAGTCAGTACCTCTGAGGACAAATACGAGTATTCACTGGAAGAGAGACCTATGAAAAGCAGTCATGCAGAGAGACGCAAAGGGGGTTATGCTAACATTAGACATGAATCTACATGGCAGAGGGAAAAAAGACCACTAGCATTTTGGGCTGCAGAGGCATTGTCTCATAGAACAGAGAAATAACAGGCGGTGGGCCGTCTTATCATCAGGAGGAGTTTAACAAAAAAGGAAGAAATTCAGAGCAGTAAAATAACAGGCATCTGTGAACTGGTGGGATTGGATTATAATGAAGAGTTAAGAGCGCTAAATATGGGTAGTTTAAGAGAAATCTCTGGGCACCAGACAGTCTGCAAAAGATGTATACACCAGCAAGGGAGATGAATTATTTAGGGTGGTACAATGGAGTATAACTAGGAGTTATAAAATGAAAGTAAGAAATGGAACATTTATGCTAAGTATCAGGATGAACATCCAGACTAAAAATCTATTAGCCTTTGGAATAATGCCCAAGAAGTGGAATCCCAATCTCCTGGGTCATTTTAAAGAAGAATGAACAAAAAAGCTAGGAAACGTATTACAGGGAATAATTCTGCAGTGGCAAGGAATGGATTGGCTCCATCTAATAGGTAGCTGTGGAAAAAATTTTGAGCATCTGTTCATGGGCAGCTAAGACTTTAAATATGGTGGTTTTATAAGAAAACATGGTTGTTCCAATTATTAGGCTCTGGTCTCATTCTCCAGAGTACATTCAAATGAAATGTCAGGGCTGCTGCGATTGTTCAAAGGCAATCCTTAGAGGCATTATGCTTGTTCTGTTTTGGGCTATGTGCCAACGTTTCTCATTTTTAGAATGCATTGCTCTCACTTGGTCTTATGCTTTATTTTGTTGCTTTAGCATTCATTCATTAAAATGTCACTTGCCAACAGGGGTCTAAAACTGTGCATCAGAACTGAGACCATTGCAATACTCTATTTCACATTCAGGTAAAAATTCCCATACTTACAAAATACCTAGATGCCATGATCAAGAGCCCCCTGCTTTGAAATCTAGATCTGGTTGGTCAGTCTAGCCTGCCATTCATGCTCTCTGCTGCCGAGCACTCACCATGACTGTGTCCATCAATGTGTTTTATTCCCGGTCTCCGTTCAAGACAGTATTATTATTAGCAATCCCTAGAATCCCCAGTGAAGTATCAGGACCCCATTGTGCTAGGCGCGCATCAGACAAACACCACAAAAGACAATCCCAGTCCCTAAGAACTTACAGTCTAGGTGTGAGGCAGGGTGTGACAGGTAGACAAGACAGACCAACAAGGTAGGAGTGGGAGGAGTACCAAAATGAGCAGAGTTTAGCTGAAGAATAGAAGTCTCAGCTCACCACTTACCTAACCAATGCCAGCTGACAGTGATCTGTAGGTATCACAGCAGAGGTAGGTTTTATGGAAGGATTTAAAACAGCATCTGTAGAGAATAGCTTAATGGGGCTGGTAGGCAACTATTGTTGGGCCATTCACTCATATCTGCCTCAAGTCCTGAAGTGCAGGCTTTGCCGTATATTTGCGTGGGCTTAGTTTGATTGAGCTCATTGTAGAAGACTCATGCTCTCCGACTCCAGTGGTGCAGGACAATACGAGCACTGTTTCCACCAAGAGCTATCTAACTTGAAAGACAGAGGGCCCTGATGGTTAACTGCTTTGTTAAACCTGCATGTGCCCTGTCTTTGCTATAGGTCTGATTTTGTGCAAGTGGAATTTTCGAGGCAGTCACTAATGCAGGGCCCTCACTTCTTTCCTTGCTCACCCTGGATCTTGATCCGGGGCGGGGGAGGAAGGGTTGGTCAGAAGCTCCCAGCAGGTCCAGGCTGGTCATGACCATCCTCCTTTTCTTTATGGCCAGACGAAAGGGATGTCCTCAAATTCTTTTTTGTTGTTACATGGCGTCACAATCTGGAAAAGGTTGGGATCACTGGTCTAGCAGATTGGGGAGCTTAGAGGAAAATATGGTGGGTATTATCAGGGCCTCATCTTGGAAGGCCCTTTCCCTAAGTAGACATGGGAGAAATTTCTCTGCAAAACAAGCACACAAGCAACATAAGCATGAAGGTTCATTTCATCACATTCCCCAACTTCCTTGCCTTTAGCAGTCAGCTTGGCACCATTCCTCAATCATCAATTTAACACTGAGGAGTGGCTCAGCATTATCCAGTGCCAAAGAGGTGCATAGAAAACTGCTTTAAAGCATCATAAGAGGTCACCAGCAGCGCTCAGTTCTGGCCACAGTGCAGGCACTTACTGCTTAGAGGTAGAGCTAAATGTGAAGGGATAAAGGTTGTGGATACTGAAACCAAGCAGAGGGTTACCCTGGATAGGGGACAAAGGAGAGGAAGACAGGATTGGAGCCCACTTGGGGAAGGGGGAGGGAGAGGTAAAATAATGGGTCAAATTGAGGCGGAGAAGTGAAATAATCACTATATGGAGGACAAAGAAATGAAGCTCAGTAATTGCTGAGGGTGTTGGGAGGAGGGCAGGGAGAAGAGATCATGGAGAAGAGAGAAAAGAACCAGTTGCAAAGTGATCTGAGGATCAGGGCGAAAGCAGAGTGTAACTCACAGCTCTGATGTCACCCACCCCCTCAGAAAGCCTCAGGGGACCATTCCATTTGGTTTTTGAAGTCACATATTTAGGGAGGAAGCAGCCAACTGCCAAATCAAACCCTCAGTATATTCAAGAAGCTAAAGCAATCCCCCCTCCCCACATCAATTTAATTATACTTTCCGTAAAGCATTTCATATGCTCTTCAAAGTCCTGGCCAAATTTCCCATGGGGAACTGCATTCGACCCACCTAAAATCCTCTGGGTAGCTACAATGGGATACTATATCATCTCCTGTGCTGAATTGCTGGGGAGGGGTGTAGGTAGACATATTAAGTTTGTACCAATTGAGTGGTTACCTAGTTCCTGCCTATCCCAATCATTTCCAAAGGCAGCCCTGCCATCATAGATAAGATTATCACTGACACAATGAATGCAGTTAGAGAAAGAGAGAGATGTAGCTGTGTGTTAACACATGAGCCAACAAAAAACAAAGCTAACCTGCCAGTTGTCATCAGAAACTAAACCTTACCAAAAGCTTAAAAAGTGCACATGGTTCTATACATGGACAACATCTCTCTGCCTGTCCCTATATGTTATTAACCGCCGAAGGTGGGCACAGTCCAGTACTAAGCAAACTAAGCCCTGTATGTAGGGTGTGATTCTCCTCACAGACACGTGTAAATCAAGAGTAATTCAAATGGCGTTACACTGGGGTAAAACTGGTGTGGGTGGAGAATCAGGTCCACAGCTTGGTATACGGAAGCAGCTGTTGCTAACGAACCCCCATCATCATTTCAGTCCATCCGGGTTAGTCACTAAGAAGGGGGATGTGTATAAGGACCCCAAAGCACTAGCAGAATTAGGCATCTCTAGTGCCTTAACGCTTCCTTCCCACATTACAAACTGCTACTATTACCCAGCAGCAATGCGGGCTTGTTAGCACAAGGGGCCACTGGCCCTGGGCGAGTCACTCCACTGCTCCGCGCCTCAGTTTCTCCTTCTGCAAGAGGGGGATGAGGACACTCATCTGGGGGGCGGGGGGAGCGAAGGCTGGCATGGGGCTGTGGAGATCCCAAGGGCTAGTCCGGGGCTGCGGGGCACCGCTGTCTCCAACAGTGCACAGCACCGGCCTGTGGCCCGGGACCTAGAGCGCTCACCTGGGAGCCTTCTTCAGCAGGCTGCAGCGCCAGACCGTCCTCCCCAGCGGGGGCGGGAGCCGCTCGCGGGGGCGCAGCCAGGGCCGGGAGGGGACCCCGCAGAGCCCAGAGCTGGCCCCGTGACTCACCAGCCCCGCAAGCATCCCCCTCCTCGGGGGGACTGCAGCACCCACCTTCTCCCCCGCGGTCCGCTGGCCCCTGTCCCAGGCGCGGGCGGGGGGGAAGCGGGACAAACCCAGCGAGGATCGACACAGCAGAGGGAGAAAGCTAGAAGGCAGGATCTGGGAGCCCCGCAGCCCTCCCTGGGACTTGTAGTTCTCAGGGCTCCAGGTCTACAGCCAGGCCACCGGAGAGGGGAACTACAACTCCCAGCAGGCCCCGGGGCAGAGCCTGCCACTCACCAGCTGGTGTTAAAGGAGACGCAGGCTGTTATTATTGTCTCTGAACGGCTCCAGCGGCGCCAGAGGCTGCGCTTGGGGTAAGTGCTGGGTTGCAGCAGCCCTGGCACCGTGGACTCTGCTGCTACTGCAGTAGCAGCAGCAGCCGCCGCCGCCTCCCCTTCTTTGCGGATTGTTTGCAGTGCAGTAAGGTATTTATTTGCATGGCAGGCAGGATTGCAGAGGGTGGGGTAATAAGGATGCTGAGAAATATTTCGTCTGTGGCATTGGGAGGGCGGGCGAGCGTCGGTGTGTTTTTTCTAATGATTGCATTGCATGGCACTGACAGTATGCAAGGCAGCATCCTGCTTGAAGTGGGTGGCTAACTTGGGCAAAGGTTTTCATTAGGACAAAGCTTGCGGGCTAAAGAGGTTGTCTTGCATCCTTTGAGAGAAAGGGGATTCTGGGGAGAGAGAGAGATGGGTGATATTCCCATTCTGTGGGGTGACACTGCACTCTCTAATACAGAATGTGACAAGTACCCCGTAATGAGCTCTGTAACAACAGCAGTATTGGTCTAGATCCAATCTACACTCAGGCTGAACTCTCCTTGACTTTGATAGGAGTTTTGCTGGAGAAATAAAAGCAGGCTTTGCAAGTAATTTGTATGCCAGCTTATGAAGGATCTCAAAATGCTTTATGAATTTAGGAATGTATGATCGTTTGTATGTAAACATCCGGAGCCTTTGTAGAGTCCATTGTGAAAGATAGAAAAGGCCAAATAGACCATCAGGTCTATCACCTGGCCAGGGCTGAAGCTAAAGGGATGTATCACATATTAATCTGTTATTTTATGTTTTATTATGGGGGAACATGATATAGATCTTTTCTGTAGTCTTTATAAAGTTGGCTATAGTCTCCGTGTGCATGTCTTACTTCTATTGTGAGAGAGAACCGCAGGGTTTGTGTAGGATGGAGGTAAATCTTGGTCTAAAATGAATGATGTATGTCATTGTTATGAAGGCACAGTTTACAGGTGTGTCTTCTCTCAGCCAAAACATTGGAGACATCTATATCTTAGAGTTTTATACAGATAAAGAAAGACAGAAATTTTAAGGGAGAGGAGAGATGTTTAATCTATAAATACCTTAAAGAAACGACAAGCAAGACAGAGGGGAATTATTTACATTCTCCAAGGACGGTCACAGAAGGCGTGTCGGTGTGAAAGTCAGGGCACATTAAGGAAGAATCCAGTGACCCAAAGGGGTCCTGGGCACATCAACCAATCAGAGCAGTTTGATTGGTGCCACTGTCTTGCTTGGATGGGAAGCAAATCATGACTAGGGAATCAAAGGAAAATTAGTCTATCTGGGCGATCTGAGAAGGACAGACTATGCCAGGAAAGCATAGTCAAGTGGTTAGAGCACATTCTGTTCTATATTCCCTGCGCAGACACTGATTTTCTATGAGACCTTGGGCAAGTCTCTTTTGAGCTTCAGTTTTCCTACCTGAAAAATGGGATAATAATCTCTCATGGGGGTTTTGGGAGACTAAATCCATCAACATTTGTAATGGTCCTTGACGAAAAGGTGTGTAAATGTAGAATATTATGTACATTAACTCCGCACTTAACGTTGTAGTTATGTTCCTGAAAAATTCGACTTTAAGCGAAACAATTTTAAGCGACTCCAATTTCCCCATAAGAATTAATGTAAATGAGGGGGTTAGGTTCCAGGGAAATTTTTTTCATCAGACAAAAGACTATATATATATATAGTATATATATAGTATGTGTGTGTGTTGTATATATATATATATATATATACTAC